ATCTGTGTGTGTGACTGAACTTAACACCAAACTGCTTCTGTTTCACACAAATGCTGGCACAGATGTGCATGTTCGGCTAGAGTCGCTCTGAACTCGTGCATCTTCGGAAGCGGAGCTGCGCGGTAAGTTACAAAAAAAATGTCGTGCACACCGTCGCGCGAACTTCCGCCAACACCGCGATGATGTCATATTTGCCGCGTGCACCTAAGCGAACTTGCGGACGCTCGAGTATAAATCAGCCATAAATCAGCCTTGAGCGTGTGTGCGTTAGATACAGTGAAGACAGCGCGTTAGTTTACAACTCTTCTAATTTTTTTTTTAATCGTAGAGAGTGTGTTCATTTGTGCAATGATAACCTACCAGCAATGTAAAAATTTATATTGTAAAGAGTACATTACAATATAAATTTATTAGAACAAGTACATTATTATTTATGGGCTTAAAAACGAGATGCAAACAATCTGAATATTGTACCTGGTGGGGAGTGCACAATGTAAACATGAAACATATGCCATTACCTTTATTATACTGTGATACAGTTCTGGAGGCCCTTCATAATGCAGAGCTCAGCTGCTGCTCTGCCTATAGTTAGAAATGGCACTATAGTAAGCAGTGTTTAATAAACAGCTGTTTTTCTCAATTCTGCTGAGGTGAAATTCAGTGCAGTCCTGTATCGTGATACGTATCGTATCGTGACTTTGCTGGTGATACACAGCCCTAGTTCAGTGTGTGTGTGTGTGTGTGTGTGTGTGATTATCATCCCAGAGACAGTGAAAGGTCCCTGACAGGGTTTAATCAACACACTGAATGATGTCCTGATGAAACTCTAGTGTATAGATCAGCATACAGTATGTTTATTCTCTTCTCTTCAGCTGTCGCTGCTCTCTTCACGACCAAAGTCCTGTGAGGTGCCAGGAATCACGTGAGTCCAACCGGCCAATCACACGCCTGCTCTCACCGTCAGTCAATCATTCACACCGCTCTTCCTGTGTGTGTGTGTGTGTGTGTGTGTGAGTGAGAGAGAGAGAGTGTGTGTGTGTGTGTGTGTGAGTGTGAGAGAGAAAGTGTGTGTGTGTGTGTGTGTGCTGCTATCAATTACTCGGACTGAACTCAGCACTGCTTAAGCTTATGAGTTATTTAAATTATTTATACATAATTATTTAATTATCTATTATATATAAAATAAAACATAATTAAATATGATTGTTTGCATATATATAAATAGTGTCTCACACACACACACACTGAACACACACACTCACACTCACACACTCTCACTCACTCACTCACTCACTCACACTCACTCACTCACTCACTCACTCACTCACTCACTCACTCACACACACACACACACACTCTCACACACTCACACACATACTCAATATCA